GTAGCTTTGCGCCTTTCCTGGAGCTCACTTGGTAGCCCAGGCTGGCCTCGAACTCACAGAGATCCATCTGGCTCTGCCTCCCGAGTGCTGGGATTAAAGGTGTGCACCATCAATGCCCGGCCTAAATTCATTCTTATGGTGCTTTTGAGTCTTCTTTCTGTGGCACACCTGTGCCACAATTCATGACACTTAGTTCTACTTTTTTTTTTTTTTTTTTTTTTTTTTTGCTCTCATTCTTATCTCCCCTCTTGCCTGACTCCTCGTATTTCTAACAGGAGACTCCTTGCCATCCTGAGAAGTTTCAAAACCCTCAAGGTCATAGCACATTCGTAGAATTGATGATAAGGAGCAGAGTCATTACTATAGTAACACAAGGTCCCAAGGTCTCAGGACTAGAGGGAGGGGGTGCAATGCTCAGTGCCACAAACTCTGAGACACAGCTTTTTATCAGCAAACTTGGCAGGTGAAGAATTGGCAGGCTTTTCTTAGGGTGTTTTGTGTTAGACACCTGTGGCTTTGACCTGTTGTATAACTGTAAAGTTTTAAACTTATGATCTATATCAAAAGGCCTTTAGTCTAGTTTGAACTTGCTCTGAGGTAAAAATGAGCTAAACGTGTGCAGTTTGTGTTAGACTGAGGAGAAATTATTATTCTCTGTGTTAGTCTGAGCAAATAGAACAGAGCAGGCTTTAAGTGTCTATAGTATCACGGGAAAATGGATCTGGCTATGAATCATATCCTAGTATATTTTCTATATATCAAATTATACAGATAAATGAAAAGTTATCTACCTGATCACCCACAGATATATGTGCCCATAAGACTGAGATGTAATCATGAGATTACATATATACATTTTATGAAAATGCATGGTAAAGGGAAGATATCATAGCTGCTATTGCACAAGAAGTTTACAACAAAAAACAGCCAATTCATTCAAAAGGCAGTTATTCCAAAATGCCTTGCATGATGGTTTCCTCCACCAGAATCCTTGGTTCTGACAGAATGACCTTCTGAACACTAGTTATCACTTGCTGTATACGCCCATGGCCTTTTGCTACTAGCAGCTCTCAGTAGCAAAACACATGTACACATTAAAAGAAATAATCTTTTACTAGAGTAATATTTGGAGAATTTTATTTTGGCATAAACTCTGTGATATTTTCTAAGATTTAAACCTCATTAAAGGCTTTCACAAGTTTCTTGTCTTTATGTTTCTATTATATATACTGTTGTGATTTGTAAGGAGAAAATAGCACATAAATGCTATATCACATTATTTACAATGCTATTTTTCATTCTAGTATGAATTTTCTGATGTCTTCTAAGTCTTGTAATATGTATATAGAATATGTCATAGTTTGCGTTTGTAAGGTTTCTTTCCAGTATGAATTTTCTGATGTGCTCTAAGATATTCACACCTAGTAAAAGATTTGTCACATTCCTTACAACTATAAGGTCTCTCTCCAGTATGAACTCTCTGATGTCTTCTAAGATGTGAGTCCCGGGTAAAGGACTTGTCACATTCCTTACATCTGTAAGGTTTCTCTCCAGTATGAACTCTCTGATGTCTTCTAAGATGTGAGCAAGTTGTAAAGGATTTGTCACAGTCCTTACATTTGTAAGGTTTCTCTCCAGTATGCAATTTCTGATGGTTATGAAATGCCGACAACTGAGGAAATGACTTTCCACATTCTTTGCATTTGTAAGGTTTCTCCCCAGTATGAAGTCTTTGATGTATTTTAAGACTTGAACGCTGGGTAAAGGATTTTTCACAAACGTTGCACTTGTAGGGTTTAATTCCAGTGTGAATTCTCTGATGTACACTGAGATATGAGGCAGTCTTGAAGCATTTCCCACATTTCCCACACTGGTGTGGTGTCTCTCCAATGTAGATAGGTTGTTGCAAAAGACTGTATGTAGAGCTGAAACAGTCATCATATTCTCCCTGCCTGTGCTCTTTCTTTGCAGTGTAGAGTCTCTGATCTTGAGTAAGGTTGGAACACAAATTTAAAGATTTCTCACAGTTTTTAGATTTGTAAGGTTCTTCTCCAGTGTGCATGCTTTCATGTGTATCTGGGTTTGATGAGTCAATAGAGGCATCCCTGTGATTACTGAATCTGCTATTATTAGAGTTTTCTGTAGTTTCAGCCATTTTATAAACTGCACATGTGGAGGGGTCATGAAGCACTTTGCCAAGCTCATTACACTGACAAGACTCTGTTTCAGTCTTCACATGTTGATGGACAGAACGACATTTGCAATAGCTCTCTGAAAATAAGTACAATTCAGATTAATAGGACTTGTTACAATAATAAACATGTGACAAATGACTGTCTCCCTAAGTTCACTTTTAAGATAAATGAACCTGGAACTATTTAGATTAGAACTCCCAATAATGGACATTTTTCATTCATTGCATGACAGCCTCCAAAGGTCAGTGCTTTATAGCAGATATCTAATCTTTTAAAAAAAATCTCTAACTGGGAAAAAGATGTAAAAAAGAATTGAAAGCCAGGGATTACTTTTGGGGGCTGGAGAGATGGCTTGGGAGTTAAGAGCACTGGTTGCTCTTCCAGAGGTTCTGAGTTCAATTCCTAGAAACCACATGGTGGCTCACAAACACCTGCAATGAGATCTGGTGCCCTCTTTTGGCCTGCAGGCATAAATGCAGGCAGAACACTATAATAAATAAATAAACCTTTGGGGAAAAAAAAAGAATTAGCTTTGGGATAGAGCTGACTGAGTGATTACATTTAGAATACATGTCTCTATCTTTAAATATTTCTTCTCAGAAATTAATGCAGAGTAGTTTAATCTAATCCTAGGTTATACTTACTAAGTGATAGAAAATGAAGAATACTGCTCAGAAGACCCAATTCCTTTCAAGATTAAAGTCTTACTTAAAAGCATCAAAGGGTTTATTTTTCTATCTAGAAAAGCACACTCAATTCTTCAAATGTAATGGATGCAAAGACAGAATTCTGGCAGACATCAGAGGCTCTAGATCATTTGAGGAAGGGTTGTCATGGGCAGCTATTGCTTATTTCTAACCTCCACTGTCTCCACACACTGCTATATATTTCTTAACTTTCCTCATAGGATTATTTTCAAGTCTACTTTATACACCGACCCATGGGATTATTTCCCAGAAAGGTGTCTGTGTATTCTCCACTGGGAAGAAAATGAAGGATATAATATGAAGATATACATACAAGGAATGCAATTACAGAATAATCCTACTTCATGAATTCATGTTAGACAAAATTTTGTAAAATTATTTCAATCTGATTTCAGCAGAATCAAATAAAACTCTTTTGTACTAGTATTACATCACCATAGTTCAAGTGCAATAGGCACAATCCTTCTAACAGCTATTACAACAGACTGATAAATCCTGGAGCCAGGCACTACACTAAGTTAAATGATCAGGAATCCTTTCGAGTGGAATTGAATATGGAAAAACCATTCTCAGCTCTTGCTTTCTCTTTCACCTGAAGCCTTCACTGTTGTCCTGCTCATTCACTAGCCCAACCTAGTTGTGGCTTCTCTCTCATCTCCACATTCCAGGGCAATCTCATTCTTCCCAGACAGGTGATCATGCCTACCTCTAATACATAATCCACATGTTCTTTGAGGCAGCCCATGACCCATGCCAGAAATTTCAGAAAGAATACAGGAGTCTAAAGACTGTACTGAGCTCAGTACATGAAAACAAAAAGCAGAGGAATTTAGGCAAGATTTTTTGATTGATATCTGTTGTCAAAGTCTTCAGTATATTTAGTATTTTCAGTGTGTATATCTTTGAATTTTTTCACAACTAAAATCATATCAATTGCAATAATGGACATAGAGCTTGAAGATATGAGTGGAAATATTATATGCTACTGAGCTTATGGATGAATCTTGGAACCAAAATGAAGGGTGGAGAACACCTCTGGAATGGGAAATGGAAAGAGAAAACTAAATAGCATAAAAAAGTTTTTGTCTACTACTAAATTTAGCCTTATCTCCTGTATCTTTTTCAGGACAGATTAACAGATTTTACATCCTATGAAGTCAACAAACAAAAGATGGATTAGGAATTCTACAAGCAAAATGTTCTCACCCACAAAGACCAGGTTGTTGTAATTCTCCAACATCACATCAATGTACAAAGACCGCTGAGCAGAGTCCAGGCATTCCCACTCCTCTTGGGGGAAGTCCACAGCTACATCCCTGAATGTCAACAGACCCTGAAACAAAGAAGTATGGTTTGACCATTTGTTACCTGGATGTGCTTTCCTAGATATAAGGAGATGGAATGTAGGTGAGCTAAGGTAATTACTCAAAAAGATGATTTTCAATACAGTCATTCTCTCACGAATGTTCTAACTCTGTGAAAACAGGATAAAACAATAGTCTTACAAGCAGTATACATGAAACAAGAATTACATTTAAGGTCTGCACACAGTTATCTATCTTTTATTGGATGCTGTGTTTATGTTACACAGGATCACAGCAGACATATCTCAGAATGAAAATTCTTAATGAGGAAATGTGCTTTAAATGCTGTTCCTATAGATCATGCTAAAACCCAAAACAGTCCTGTGTATATTAGGCCTTACATGACTCTTTTCTAACATGCTCAGTTGTGATGTTTAAACACATTGTACTCTAGGTACGATGCTATTCCATTAAATAGCAAGGGGCAGGGATAGAAGACAGAATATAGGACTGATTTTATAGCTCAAAATTTAGTTTTTTTTTCCACCCTAACAAGAATTGTAACAGCACTGTATACTGTCATTTTAACATTAACATATAAGATAAGTAGTCTATTGAATTAATTTTATGAGAATATTTGTGCCACTAAGAACGGATAAAAAAATCTGCATCAGACATATTTGCTATAATCCAAAATTTTCCTAATAATATGCATAAGCCAATAGAGACAAATAACAATTTCAGAAGTTTGCAAGAATATGTCACTACACTCCCAAAGAGCAATAAAAATTGAGGGAAGTCCAAAAACACATCAGAAAATGTTTAAGGTATAGCTGTATCAGTGACATTTTGGATACGGCTCATAGCAAGAATTTACCAAAAATGAAATTAACTAAATACTGAGGAAATAAAACTGCAAGTCAATAAATGGTCAAATGAACTAAATAGACACTTTTTAAAGACAGGACCTCAAATGACCAATAAACATTGCAAAAGTGTTCAGGATTCCAAAAAGGCCACCATGAAAACAAAAATTAAAACTATTCAGAAATACTGCCTCACCCTAGGTAGAGTGGCTGTCATCAACTAACCTGACAATAAATTTTCCAGGGGATATGGAGAGAAAGAAAACCTTATTCACTGTTGATGAAGGGATGGTACAAATTAATACAACCATTGTGGGAATCAGTTTGGAGATAATGAAAAAACTGAAGAGAGAAGTAGCAAGTGACCCAGTTCTTTCATTCCTGGCCATATACTCAGAGAACAACACATCCCACTACGAGACATTTATACCCCATGTTTACTTGTGTTTTAATCACCAAAGGAAAAGTACTGGAATCAGAATAATTATTTATCAACAGATGAATGAATAAGGAAAACTGAATAAAATGGAGAACAATTCAGCTGAAGAGAAAAAAAATATAAGAATCTGGAGGAAAATGGATGGACCCAAAAATGTGTATTATTAGGTGGAGTCATACACTTTTAGAAAGGAGACACCACATTTTCATTCATATGCAGAATCTACCCAATAATATATGTATATAGAAACAATGTATACGTGGACACAATATAACATGGAGAAGAGAGAACAGGAAAAGTTAAATTATCAGGGTCTGAATGCAGGTAATGAACACCAGTTATGGAAAAGGATATAAAGCTAAGTGCTTTTCAAGTTCTAATTCTGTCAAATGTTTTTGGGGTTTTGGTGGTAGATAAGGAAATCAAAATATATTTGACTGTGAAAATACAAAATCGCATGTGAGGCTCCAGAGCTTCTGTTCCCTATGATGACTCAACTGTGTAAAAGGACACTGAGTTGCATAGTCTTTGGGTCTGTTTAATTTCAGTGTGTGATTTTGTTGTTTGTCTCTTGGCAGAATTATTCTTAATACATTTTTTTTAAAAATTATCAGAGGAAGAAAAGTAAAGGCCTTTAATACATCAAAGTACAACATATTTAATAAAGAGTGGAAACAACCACTGACCTGTGACATGTTTACTGGAGAATCAGCCATTTCTTACTGTTTCTCTTCTTTTAATTTCTCTTTCAGGAACAATCAATAGATGGTTGCTTCCCTTTCAAATCAAGGGGTCAAAATGGAAGAGTTAAAATTAATACTGAAAGCTGTTAGAGAACAATGTCAAACCACATGAAAAGACCCAAGCAACAGAATTCTACCAGGTGTCTAGTCAATGATCCCAAAACCAGGAAGGAGAGCATGGAAAGACATTTGAAGCTTGAAGAGAAAATTACCATAAAATATCTAGTTACACAAAGAAAATTACTCTCTTAAAATTGATGGAGACTTAAGTGAATTTCAAGACAGTCAGCAATTAACACAATTGATTTCACTAAAGCAGCACTGCAGATAATAAAACAGAGGCAAAATATACACAGGAGAGTCAGAGAATCATTCATGAGAACATGGGAAATAATAAATTTCATGTAAAGAAGAGAGAAATACAGGAGAACTGGAGAGTAATCATCCATGAGCAAGACAACAAACTACTATTTCTCAAAAAGAAGGAAGAATACTACCAATAAGCCAACCAGCAACAAACAAACAAAACCATAGGAAATAAAAATGCCATAAACAAAAAAACTCGCCATACTGCAAATCAAACTAGACAATCCTCAAGTAAACAAACCCTGAAGTTAAATAAATTCAGCACATGTCATTCCTTTGTACAAGCTCAAAGACTTGACATCCTGCTCCACAGACACTTGCTCACCCATGTTCATTGCTACTCTACTTATAATATCTACAAAATGGAAACAACCTAAATGTCCTTCAACTGACAAATAGATAAGTGGAAGTGTGGTACATATACGCTATAGAATACTATTCAGCTGTAAAGAAAATTAAAATCCTGAGCTCTGCAGGTAAATAGATTGACTTATGAAAGATCATACTGAGTGAGGTAACCTGGCCCCAGAAAGAAATGACGCATGATCTCTATCAGAGAAGTTCCTAGCTACAAATCTTCAGATGTGAGTACGCAACTTGGAGTGATTGTAGTACCCAGAAAAGTGAAAAGAGATCACTGTGGGGTGTGGGTGAGTAATAGAGATGGAGTAACAGGGAACAAGTGATCTGAAGGAGGAAATGGGAAAACAGGGTTGAGGATTTAACTATGCAGAAGGGATAGATATGAACACAGAAGAAGGAGGATAAAATAACAGTAAGGATGTCTGGAAAATTCATAAGGAATCCATCTATTCCTTGATTCTTATCCATCTATCCAAAAATTCCTATAATACATCTGTCTCTGTAAGAGACACTTTTAAGTATAAATGAAAATCTCCCAAATGGACTGATGATTCTCCTCAGAAGAGCCATAGAATTTCTAACAAAATGACCAATACCAGGTGTAAGAAGCCTGCTTTGAAGTTGTTGGTCACACTTGTCCAAGAGACTTCCAAATATTACAAGGTATTGCTGTTGCCCATGGTTTCCTCCTAGAAGTCGTTGAGTCCCTAATGTTGAAACCACATATTACAGACACAAATCCAAGAGAACGCCAGATGGACATGACCTCAACGCCTCCTCCCTGGGGACTAGCTTTCATGGTATCAGAAGGCAACATGCAACTTTTCAAAGGTGGGAGCCAGTCAACAGTCCTGCCCAGCTATGATGCCTATGAACCACAACAATGATCTGCACTGCATGATAGCCCTAAGGGTGTAAGAGTGGTACACAGACCTTGGTGGTAATCAACAGCTTCTAATTGGATTAAGACCCTCTCAACCAGACAGAAATTATGGCTGGCACTGGAAACCTAGCCTGTTTCCCCAGGGCTAGTAAAGGCATAGATCTTGGAGGAGAAACTACAACCAGTACTTTACTAAATCAGCATAAGTCCCTACTGCATTCTAAATATTGATCCTTATTGCCAACAGACAATATGAGACAGTATAGATGGAGTTTAGCAGCCTGTATATATACTTGCTGATTTTTATCAAAACACTGTTGGCATTATTTTCAGGAATGGAGGAGACATTAACCTAAAAGATAGAGAATGTGCTAGAATACCAAAAGCTCAAAAACTCTGAATACAATAACCGTAAAGGTATTAATTTTCATTACTTTTATAATATATTAAAATCAAAGAAATAAAAATGATTTAATAATGGCATGAAAACATGACCAGTGATGTGAATGAATAAGGACAGCATCATTCACATGCATAGTCAAATAAAATTGTATTTGACTCCATTATCAATTCTTCTGTAGAAAGTCTGCTCATTAGGATAATCCTGAGGAGATTTTTCTCAGTGGGAGTCTCCAGAATTATTTCTAGTGAAACAGAATGTGGCAAAACTGATTTCATGCCCCACTTCCCCTTTCCATTCCTTCACCAATGTCTCCACCATACCTGGATCCTTAGCTCCTGTCTCCTCTCTCCTTCCAGGCCACTTTGTTCTGCTGCACAGGTGAGCAGGTCATGGTGATCAGTGAGACCTGCACATGAGAAAGAGATTATTCAGGAAGCACCTGGATTTCTAACACAGTACTGTGCTCAGGAGATGAAGAGAAAACCAAGTACAGGATTATAGAAATGATTCCCCAACTGTCCTGCATTGTTAGAATACAGAAAACAATTAGAAAGCATTTTTAGTTATAGTAACTTGCCCACTTCCAGTCACAGCTCAGTCAAAACTCAGGCAGAAATCGTACTGAATGATTTGGGGAGAGAATATTATATACTAGTGAGGTTCTGTATGGATCATGGACCAATAGTGATGAAGCCTTACACCTCCCAAAGGGACACACACAAAGAAGAGAGAACACTTCATGGAAATTTTCTTTTTTCCTTTGAGGATTTCACTTTATTCTGTGGGATGTGAGACTCATCCACACAAAGCTCACACACTGGCAGATTAGTTTATCAAGAGATACTGAGGGAGACTGCAAGCAAATAATTCTCAGCCACAGAAACCATTCTGCTGCAATTCCGCAACATCCAGTGCTAGTACAAAGCCCTCAGGGAATGGTCCAGGCATTGCCCATCCCGTCCACAGTCACAGCACTGGCTGTCCACAGATCACAAAGGAAAAAAACAAACCAGTTTGAATCATCCTGTTGGTGCACACCTGTAATCCTAGCACTTGAGAGAAACAGGTGGATGAAATTCTGTGTTTTCCAGTCCAGCCTGGTCTACATGGTGAGTGCTGGGCTAGACAGAGCAACACTGTGAGTTCAGGTCTCAAACACAGCAAACACAAGAACAAAAAAAAAAAATCACAGTTTGTTCATGTGTCCATGGACAGATTGCTTTTCTTAGACTAGGGAGACAAAGGACTATTGTAGACATTTTTCTGATATAGATGAGTTATTGTAATTATTCAAAGGGTGTTATCTAATATAATTCTACATTATAATGCATTCGAATATCTTTTTGTTGTTGTTTTTTATATTCTATTCCCCCCCCCCCCCGCCCAAACAGGCTTTTTCTGTGTAGTGATGGCTGTCCTTGAAGTCACTATGTATACATCCTCCAACAAACTGCACCCACTTGCCTCTGCCTTCTGAGTGTTGGGATTAAAGGCCTGTGCCACCAGGCCTGGCAAAGACACTTTTCAGAATGCTGTATTTACATCCCAGTGTGCACATGTCTCAGATGGAAAATTAATGGTAGATAAAAGTTTACTTTTAAAAGTTAATATTTACAAGTATATTGTGGAACTCGCAAAAAAAAAAAATGTACTTTCAGATTCAATGAAATTTGCAGGTGTTCCTTTCATGACTATAATCCAAGAGCTCTTGACGAATCCAAGTCTCCGGGTAAATGTGCCACTCTCTTGAGTAGGGAAATCATACAACAAAAGTTAGTACAGATGATTGTAAACTTCAAGAGCTTTGTCGTTTCCATCATTGCAAAGAGAATTGTGCTTGCAAATCTTAACAGATACATTCAAATATCCGATTAGATTATTTTTACAAGAATATTTTAGCAATCAGAAGACTAATTGAAAACAAAAATAGGCTTATTCCATATGATCTAAAGCACACCATAGGGAAAGATGTTCACAGTAGAACTTCAGAGCCGGCTTCCTTATGAACATCAGAGAAATTGCTGGCACCCCCGGTCCCTCCCCTCCCGTGTCCCAGCCCCGCAGCTCCTCTGACCTGGGAGGTTCCAGGGCCGCCGGGCTGCGGTTCCCGCCACTGCGCTGCTGACTGGTGACTTTCCCAGGCCGCCCGGCGCGGCGACTGCGGCTCCGGGGAGATTTCGCGTCCCCGCGACACCGAGCCGTGTCCTTCGCACCCAGGTCTGCACCACGGGATTCCCCACCGTGCCGGCCCCAAGCAACGACAGGGATGGGCATTCGGTACTGCTGGCTGTGGTTCTTTCCAACTTCCCCGGCTCACCTTGTGTCCCAGTTTTCGTTTACTTCAGTCCTCCAACCCCTCCCACGCTTTCGCTTCCTCTACACCCAGCCAATGGGCCACATCTTCCCAACAGCTGTTTCCTGCTGTGTGTTCCCGCCCCATCGGGGGGACATCTACCTCCCACTCGGTCTCAGGCTGCCTTCCACACAGCTCCAGCTGTCAGGCTGCCCTGCACCCGCTCTGCACAGCCTCCCCACATGCTCGCTGCCAGCCTGGACCAGAACTGCGTCTAGGAGGACGCTGCACCCCGGTGTCTGACCCCACAGTGAGTTCTGAACCCTTCGGATAAAAGACAGGCAGCCTCACCTCGACTTGACTACCAGCCTCCTGGGCTACAACTTACACCAAACGATAATAGGCTAAATTCAGATGCCAGCGTCCCAGCTCCAACACAAACATGACAAGCCAACACAAAATACTGCAATTGTGCCTTGGGGAGAGACATTCCAGGAGCTTGGATTTTGAAATGAAATAGGTTGTCTCCAGAAGTCAGTGGTCAGCCCATTGCTATCAGCCTAGGGCTGAGTTCATCCCGGGCTGTACCGCTCTCACCACTAGATGGTGGTCTTGTCATTAAACTAACTCAAACAAGTTCTTTTGGGAGTAACGCTAATGGCGCTTTTACATAAAATATAAGAAAAAAAAATTTCACTGCAGTGGTGAATGCAAGAGACTATTGGCTGTTCGGATGCAGAAAATAAGGTGTGTGATCCAAACCCTAAAGACGCCAGTTACAGCATCCCACCTGTGATTCTGGGAACACTGGGAGGAGGACAAGGAAAGGGAATAAGAAGGAAAAGGGGAGGAAGGAGTCCATACAGTTTTTGTAATCAGTAACCAACAGCAGCTGTACTGACCTGCGTTGACCTCACACTAGACCACTATCAGTCTAGGAAAGGGAAAGGCTCATAGAGCACGCCCTTTACGCCTCAAATGTTGGCAATGGATGGATTATAGAAGAATCACTGCCTTTAGCTGTAGTCCTCTGCTGATCCCACCAGGATCCAGCACATAGCTCCAAACCCACAGTCTCAATGTGGCCCTGGTTAATCTCAGTGTGTCCCAAGCAAAATGAATGGAGATGAACACAACAGAGAGATTAGTTGGAATTGTGGAGCAGGATAGTAGAGAGGTAGGAAGTGAGAATGGACAGTATTTGAGGCACATACACAGAGTGTGTCTATATAATGGTCTGTGTGTGACCGACTGAGAGACACACACAGAGAGAACTAATAATAGAATTTTTTAAATTCTTTTTTATTAAGATATTTTCTATTCATTTTACATACCAACCACGGATTCCCCTGTCCTCCCTCCTCCTGCCCCCCCCCCCAGCCTTCCCCACAACCCAACCTCCATTCCCACTTCCTCCAAGGCAAGGTCTCCCCTGAGGAGTCAGCAGAGCCTGGTACATTCAGTTGAGGCAGATCCAAGCCCCTCCTCCCTGCACCAAGATTGCACAAAGTGTCTCACCACAGGCACTAGGCTCCAAAAAGCCAACTCATGCATTAGGGACAGGTCCTGATCCCCCTGCCTAGGGCCCCCTAAACAGTTCAAGCTAAACAATGGTCTCGCTTATCCAGAGGGTCTAGTCCAGTACCATGGGGGTTCCATAGCTATTGGTTTACAGTTCATGCATTTCCACTAGTTTGACTAGTTGTCTCTTTGCTTTGTTCCAATCATGGCCTCAATATCTCTTGCTCATATAATCCTCCTCTCTCTCATCGACTGGACTTCTGGAGCTCCACCTGGGACCCGGCTGTGGATCTCTGCATCTGCTTTCATCAGTCACTGGATGAGGTCTGTATGATGACAGTTAGGGTATTCAGCCATCTGATTACTAAAGTATGCCAGCTCAGGCACCCTCTCGACTATTGCCAATAATCTATGGTGGAGTCATCCTTATGGATTCCTGGGAATAGCCCCTAACACTCTGCTTCTCCCTATTCTCAAGGTGTCTTGATTTATCATAGTATCTCTTTCCTTGCTCTCCCACCCTGCTCCCATTCCAGCTTTAACCTCCCACTCCTCTAAGCTCTCATCCCCCGTTCCTTGCCCTCCATTACTCTCCTCACCCCCAGTTTGCTCATGTAGATCTCATCCACTTCTCCATCATTGGGCAATCCATGCGCTCTTTCTAGGGTCTTCCTAACTAGGTAGCCTCACTGGAGCCATAGATTGAAGTCTGGTCATCCTTTGCTTTATATCTAGTATCCACTTATGAGTGAGCACATACTACATTTGTCCTTCTGAGTCTGGGTTACCTCACTCAGGATGATTTTTTCTAGTCCCACACATTTGCCTGCAAACCTCATGATGTCATTGTTTTTCTCTGCTGAATAGTACTCCATTGTGTATATGTACACATTTTCTTTATCCATTCTTCAGTTGAGGGGCATCTAGGTTGTTTCCAGGTTTTGGCTATTACAAACAATGCTGATATGAACATAGCTGAGCAAGTGCTCTTGTGGTATGATTGAGCATTTCTTGGGTATATGCCCACGAGTGTTATAGCTGGGTCTTGAGGAAGACTGATTCCCAATTTTCTGAGAATTTGCCATACTGATTTCCAAAGTGGCTGTACAAGTTTGCATTCCCACCAACAGTGGAGGAGTGTTCCCCTTACTCCACATCCTCTCCAACATAAGCTTTTTGATCTTAGCCATTCTGACAGGTTTAAGATGGTCACATACATAGCCCAGAGAAGGATAAATAGATGAGATCTACATGAGCAAACTGGAA